GTGTGTGTGTGTGTGTTAAGGCAGGAGAGGAAGGACGACAGACTGCAGATGATGGCTGTCATGCAGGCACTCTACACCAGCCACATGTGGAATTAAGCTCTGCAGAATGTGCTGTTAACTACTGAGATGAATGTTTAAATTTAGTAGCTCCCAAGTTGTAAAGTGTTTTGTATACAATCTATGAGTAATATTTTTAGTTTGGCTTCTTTTGCCTTTGGTGCATTTGTGGGGGGTGGTTCTTTTGAGTTTTGTTTGGTGTGGTTGTTTTGGGGGCTTGGTTGGTTTTGTTCTTTTGTTTTGTTCTAAGTTTTGTTTTAGGTTTTGTTCTGGGCCTTGGTTTGTTTTGTGTTTTGTTTTGTTTCGTTTCATTTTGTTTTGTTCTGTGTTGTGTCCTGGGTTTTGTTTTGGGTTGTTGGTTTTGTTCTGGGTTTGAGTTTTCTTTTGTTCTTGTGTTTTGTTCTAGGTTTTGTTTTGTTTGTTGTCATATTTTTTTTTAAATATTACTTCTAATGTCCCACGTGATAAACATACGTTTTTGTACATAAATCTAAGCATTACCTTGTCAGAAAAAATTACTTCATTTGACTGCAATAAAGTAATAAACATTGGATTAATTCAAGAATTTTTTTTCCCCCAAGCCAACTCAAATGTCCCTATTAACCTGAATTCATCACACCTTATTTACAGTATTATCAGCTGCATCTAAATGAGCTAAAATTACTGTTATTCTTTCTCTCTACCTCTGATCTCTGCAGGCAGCTCCAGAGCTTGAGCCCAAGCCCGTACCTGAAGAAGTCGTACCATCTGCACCTGTGGAAGAGCCCGTTCCTGTGCCAGAGCCAGTGCCTGAGCAAGTACCCAACTCGTCACCAGAACCAGTGGCTACACCAGTAGAAGAGCCAATGCCTGAACCAGTGAATAAGCCTGTCCCAGAACCAGTGCCTGAACTAGTCCCAGAGGTGCCCATCCATGAACCAGCATCTGAACCCACCCCTGAACCAGTATCGGTGCCCACCCCAGAAACAACGTCTGAACCCACCCCAGAACCAGTATCAGTGCCCACCCCAGAAACAACATCTGTGCCCACCCCAGAACCAGTTTCTGTACCAACCCCCGAAGCAGCGCCTGTGCCCGTCCCTGAGACCTCACCAGCAGCTGAATCCCTAGAGAATACTGGTATGGATGCATCAGCGCTACACAGTGTGTAGTTTTTGTACTCTTTTTTGGGTACAATCCTGCCATTGTAGGTACAAGTGAACCTGTGAAGAATGCTAACACTTTGATTTACAGTGTCCTTGTTACACGTTAAATGTACTTGCTATAGTAGTAATAGTAAATTACTAAACCAGTAATTAGTAATAGTAAGCCAAGCTCTAATCCTAAACCTACTGTACAGTAAGTATGTGCTGTTAATTTATATTGCTTAGCACATAAATGTGTAATTACAACAAGGACACTTTAGAAATGAAGTATAATCGAATGCTGCTGACACTTTATTTATTTGATGATTTGTTTTTTACATTTCCTCCAGCTCACTTGGTTCCAGGGTTAATATAGTTAATTAAAACCGATTACAAAATCAGTAGGGGATCAAATAATTATTTTCCCCACTGTATATATGAGCAATATCACTCGAGTACGAGGGCAATACCGGCTCTATATCAGCATTGCTGTGATTAGTCCAGAGGCACGAGGCCGCAGGCAATCATAGCCGCTGATTTAGAGCCGGTATCACTCGATTACGAGAGTGATATTGCGTTTATACAACAGTTCGACGGCACGAGTGTAAATATATAAGAAAAACAACAACAGAGTGTCTTTAAAAACCCTTTTGTGCGGAACTACTTCCTTCCGCCACATATTCAAATCTCAGTTTGACAGTTTAACAGCTGAGCTGAAGCCTCCATTACTAATTCAAAAACGTCACTTTAGAACTAGTAACGAAGGAACATTGTGTTACTACATTGAAAACCTATTGTATTATTTAATTAAAAGCTCACTGTATTATGTAGAGTTAGAGTATTGTGAGAAAGAGATGGACTGAGCGAGTGTGATTACCTGCATCTGATACAGCATTCATTCTTCAGCTCAATCTCATATTCACAATAAAACATTAGTTTGAATGTCCTCTGAGGAAAGTGACATCTTTGTCGTACTATCTTTCATCTGTTAAGGGTGATTTCCGATGACGGCGCTGCTCACTGCATTTGTTAACTGCGTCTTACAAGCTGTTATTAAAAATAACTTCCGTTTTAGTATCTTTCAATGTAAAAGTCTTAAATGCTGACTCGTAAAACAGTCTCGTCGCCATCTAATGGCGGAACAATGTCACAAAAATCACCATCACGAACACACACACTGTTTCCCAATACTAAATACTACTATGTATATAAAATGTTATTTATTGAATAATAAACAACAACAACAGCCATCATAAAAGCCATGCTCTAATATACAGCATTAAAGTTACATAAAATATAACGTGATGAGATTTTGCCTTCAGCCAAACTATTTGCTCTGGAAACAAATAATAGATTAATGAGACCAAAGACTGCCCGTAAGATTTACCCAAAACTAATTATATCTCATGTTTAACCACTATAGAGACATCAGAGCCAGCGGCAAATTCCAGAAGATCCAGGCCGAGGTGAGGCTGCTCTCGTCAGCACATACCGCAGATGTGAGGCGTGTGAAACAGGCTTCAGCCGCCAACCGCATGTGCAGAGCAGCTTTTATCCTCGAATTACTATAAAGACTTCCTAGCTGCCTGTGCCAATGTCTTGACAGGCCTGCAAGTGGATTAGACCTGGTAGGATGATAATCTGGGTTAGGAACAGGGCGCAGTGTCACAGAAGATTTTCTGCCCTTCCTGTCTTGTTGTCTGATCCGTCACGACAATACAGACACTTTCATACTGATCGAACACCTGCTCTTTGTATCCAGATCAAGTGTGGTCCTCTTTGTAGCTCACTTAGACAGGAGACGGAGGTATTTGGCTGACATTTAAAGCGACCAGCGACAGTTTTACAGGTTGCTCAGAGGCGAGTTTATTCAAACTGCTGTTTACTTTTAGCAGTTAGCCTCTGCAGATAGATGATATAACTACACCATTATGGGGACAAAAGCCCCTATTCTGACAGTAATTGTTTCTCATGTGGACGTCTGTAAAAAAAAGAAAAAATTGACATGGCACCTCAGTGATGAAACTCATGGATTCGGATGCAATTTATTCACCGTGAAAAGGGGAAAGCACTGCTCACGTGACCAGTCGCATGATTGTCTGCTCTAAATAAAATGTCATATGCTTGGAATAAATATTATTTCATTATTATATTTCATGATTTAATTCTCCTGTTTAAACTAGGAAAACAGACGCGCTATAGTTGAAATGGTTTCCTCCTTGCATTTTGTCTCTCAAAATGGTGGATGTCATTAAAAATGTGGAGATTAGCAGAAATAAGTTAATGCAACCTCTTATTTATTTAAGGTAAACATAAATCTGCTTAGTTTATATACAGTAGTCAACATTTGAAGTTGTCCTAAAACCAAAACAATACACGTTCTTGTCTTAGGACAACTTTGATGAACTTTTTTGATCCACTTCAAATGTTGACTATTGTGTGTATGTGTATATATATATATATATGTGTGTCTGAATATGTGTTAAAATGTAATTTATTTCTGTGATCAAAGCTGAATTTTCAGCATCATTACTCCAGTCTTCAGTGTCACATGATCCTTCAGAAATCATTCTAATATGCTGATTTGATGCTCAAGAAAATTGTTGAAAACAGTTATGCTGCTATTTTTGTGTAACTGTGATGCATTTTTTTCAGGATTCTTTGAACAAGAAAAAAAAAAAAAGTGAAACTGAAATATTTTTATATCAATGTAAAAGTCCTCTTAATCACTTATCGTCAGGTAAATGTTAAATCTGATACCGTCTCTTTCAGATGTCGCAGCTGCTTTAGTGACGGATGAGGTCGAGACCTCTGCAGTCCTACCCGGTAATAAGAGGACCACCAAGTTTGAGAAGAGAATGAGCACGGAGGAGATGGAAGAGGAGCAGAGGTCAGTATTTTGCTTCTCCCTCAGTCCATCCACTGAAGCAACAGCTTCTCCTAATAACACAACAGTGAAATCAACATTTCACTGTTTTGCATTTCATATATATCTAGAAATGCTTGAATCGAACAGCATTTCAAGCATGTGAAGTGTGTATGTGCAGTATGTGAAGCCTCCCCTCTGAAGCATACAGAATGATGCTTTTTAGTGACTCTACAGTGCAAACGTTTTAAATATCCTCCAATTAGTGAATATGTGCCAAACATACAG